TTGATATTATGTTAGATATTAGTATTCAGAAACAATAGCACTGGTTTGGCTCTGTATTTTGTTGGACCGAATTGCGAGACGACGGCTCATACTATTACAATGTTATCATAGTTTTTTTAATTCCCAGCCTTGAAACGAAGATGCTTCTTTTACCGCAAGGGCATCGTGTGGATAAAGATCAAACATATTGTACAGTCACGAGTTCCACTCATGACATAAAATGGACTCCATAATATGGACAAATAACTAAAACCTCTGATTCAGATACTGAACGATTGCTCTATCAGATGAATACAAAAATTGCGTTAGATTACACAACATAGCCTACCTCTAGTGTTGTCGTGAAGCCTGTACAAACTTGCAAGCCAAATTATGTTTATTTCACAGTGCTACATTTGTTTCCACAATATGACTACTACCACTCACCAATATTTTTAGCATTTTCGTCATCGTTTAATCATTTAATCCTTGTATCTTCCTGTCTGGATAGAATTAATATATGTTCTCGGTACAATCAGTGTTCATGAAAAGTCGGGGTAGAACAACTGATTGGCAGGTAATTGTTTTTTACCAAATACAAATGATTGAAATATTTTCATGAAATTGAATGGCTTAATATAGAAAACGTCACTAATGATTATATATTGACGACGTCATAGTGGCCACATCACGTATTACCAGCATAAATTAATTGTTCTTATTTTGAAATGCACTGCTGTCAACCGGACCAATTTCGACACATGATTGTCAGGACACATTCCTTGAAAAATGTACCACATATCTTTATTGCTTTATTTGGAACCAACTATTTGGAGGATTACCTTAGGACGAAATATTTCGAATGACGAGGACACACGAAGCAAACAACATTCAAGTGAGATATTAAACAAAGTATACATCACCTGTGAATGGAATAGCCTTATTACCATGAATCATCTAACCTGTAGTGATTTCGACGATCCGTCAAAACACCCAGTACCCAGAGTCTGTTTCACATGTGACTACTATCTTTTATAAACGTAAATATTAATAACATTTTGTATTTCCCATTAAGTTGTTACAACCGTATTACTTATTTTGAATTGAAAACTAAACTATGTTGATCATATAGAGTCATTGTAACATGTTCAACACATCATGAAATTTTACATTATATACTAATTGATCGAATCACCAGAAAGAAATTGTATTAAAGCTGAATGGCAATAAACACGAGTAAACCAGAAATCATCCTAGTTAGATAATACAAAAGACATGAAATGCATCATCAATATACAGAACTCAATGCCATAGCATTACAATCACGGATGTCACATTGCGACCGAATTGCATCTCAAACTTTGAAGGTAAAACATACATCGGAAATAGTAACTGTGAAAACGTCACAGAAAATAAAGCGACATGAAAAGCACCACTGGGTGGTTTGGAAGAAATTGATGATTCATTTTATCTTAACGAGTTAGAGCTTAACACTAGTGATTAAAGCTGCGAGATTAAAAATATATTGGTTTTATCTACTTGGCACATATAAATTCAGCGGATGATATACGTATGTACGTTTCGTGTTGTCGAATAAAACATTCATTAATTTGAGCACGCTTGCATATAATCTATACACGTAAAAAGTTCGTTTTTTTTGTTTAATACCGTATTTTGATGAGACGCGAGTACAGGAATTTTACACACATAATGACTGTAAGAAATCTCATCCCATCCCTTTGGATGTGGGATTCCAATGAGCCCTCTTGCGGTTTGATTAACCATTGCCACATCATCAGACAAATCTCAAAATCTTAATAAAAATAAATACAGTCAACATCTTTCAGAACGTTTTCTGGTCGCATAAAAGTAATATGAAATACATGTAGCTATGGCTCTTTCATGCTCGTTAAAGTAAATTAATTAATTTTAATTTATTTTGAGATCTATAATTCGTACACGATTCTTTATAATTTAGCGTCGTTAATTGCTTCATTAGCGTTGATAGCAGTATGGGTGGTGTGTGGTGGGACGTCATTATGTCATGTAAACAGCATGGTTTAGCAGCACATATACCGTATCAAACCCATTATGGTGTGTTGGCTTTATTGATAAATTTAACAGGTTCAATCCGACGTAGACGTCCTCAAAAATGAACATCTTCATATGACATGCTGATTGTAAAATTGATTTTGCAACATCCACTGACATTACGTATGCCGCACCACTTATGTACGTTGGAAAGTTATCGATTGGCCAATCGTATTTACTGGTATACCATTTATTCAGCTCGTCTCGTATGGGTTTCGCATTTTCGTACACGTGACCTACGATGTAGTTGTTTTGCTGTGCATTGCTCAAAAGCCCGACGAGGTTGTCGAAGTTGATGAAAACATCGTCGTCAACTTTCATGACGTACTTCACATGTGGGCAGTACGTCACAGCCCATTTCAACATCACCATTGTCTTCAGCGTAAGATTGTTGTAAGAATCCACAAAGTCGACTACAACTATGTCAGAAAACAAGTCGTGCTCTTTCTTCAATATTTGGAAATTTTCATTTGTTGACGGCATTCCAGTGAAGAACACCTGTATTATTTGGTACCCATCAACCTCTCTGATTAGTCCACGGGAGTTGCGAATGAAGCTGCGCCGAACCACCGTACTTGGGGTAGACATAGTTATTATTAGAAGGAAAGTATCATTATATCATTGTCACATTTACAAATGTTTTCCAGATCCAACAGATACGGCAAGTCGAAGTTATTCAAATGTTGTTTGTCCAACTTATTAGTGTTTAATATTCGGAAAATTTCATCTTGTGATAGAAATGAGTTTCTAAGTGATTTACACCGATTTTCCCAATTTTCCGAGGTCACAACTTGTCTAGATTCGAATAATTGGTGAAATGTTACCACGAACACACATATGTTAGTAGAGAGTAATGCAAGTACGACCAGCACGGTTTCCCTTTTGCTTTTCACGTTACTTTTCTTGAGCATAGCGTTGTTGTTTTACAACATCATTGTGATTACTAAGATGCCTCTGAAATAGGAATGATAATAGTGCCTCGGTTATTGTATTTTTGCCTTCGAAATATTTGCGATGACCAGTCGAAATTTAAAATACAGAAGTATATGAACTGAATGTTTCGTTCAGTAAATATTATGGAAATAACAATATAAATTGCAATTGTATAAAAACGATAAGCTGTATAAACCCAACTATACGCGGAATGAATTATATTTAAAGAATGGCATCGAAGTATCCATCTATATCTGAAATAAATTACCAGCTTAAAAATAAACTCACTTGAATCATCTCTGAACATCAATTGGTGATAGCTGTGAGACACAATTATTGGTAATTCCGTAGATTATAGTCCAAAGTACATGTTGAGATTGTATAGCTAGTGGGAATATATTATATTGATATGTACACGTACATAAATCAGTGTAAATATATATGTACAAGAGCAGGGGTCACATATTAATTGACGTAGTGTTATGAATAGAACAATATATGATATATGAATTTTCATTTTAATTGTGTTTCCAACTGTGTAATGTTAACATATTGGCAGGTAATATAAACATATGAAACCATTGCGTGTAAATACTATGATTAGCATAAGGGGTAAATGGACCCGATGGTGTATCATATATTTATTGTATTACAATATAGGAGAGCTTATCCGATACACATTTGATTAAAATCAAATTTTATTGGTCATGTTTTTTTTTTTAATTATTCTTATCTTATTCTTTCAAATGTATATTCTTGGTTCTATTTTCCAACTTTTTGACTGTAATAAGATTTGTCAACCAATCAAAAAAAGGTCATGTATACAGGGGTTATTCAATTTATATACAGGAATTATTCATCAAAGTTCAACTATGCCTGTATGTAAAGCCTCCGCTGATTGATTATTAAAGTTTGCGAGAGTTATAAAGGTCTTTGGGCTCTCCCAGTCTGACATTTACAAGGAATTAAAGTACACGTCCAGCCATGCGTTGACGAATCCAAACGAACCACAATCTCATTAGCATACCTCGGGTTTGACCTAACTCATTAACATATTAAATGCGTTTGTGCGTCATGAAAAGCTGCTGAGTTGCGCTGTGAGCGTGTAATCCCAGTGTTTTACTCTTGATTATTCAAGTTTTACCATAATTTATTCACATTTAATTATCATTGGTGGCGAATATGACGCACTGTAATGCTAGAATGCGACAAATTTGGCGGGTAAGTTTGAATTTTGCATATTAATATTCTATGTTTCCTCAACCTGTAGTGTTACTCGATCAAGCTGTCTCTCTGTGTATCTTGTGTATCTTGTGCTTTTTTAGCTCCGCTGTCGACTTTGACGAGCGGAGCTTATCATATGAGTGAGTGTCCGTCGTCGTCCGTCGTCGTCGTCCGCCGTCCGTGTCAATGTTTTACTTTTTCGACTTCTTCTTGAAAACTACAAGTCTGAATGCTTTGATACTTGGTGTATATGTACCTTGGATAGACCTCTCTAAGATTTGTTCATTTTGTGATGATATCTTCAATTCTCTAATTTTGGTGAATATTTTTGTCATTTTTGGTAAAAAGTGGTATTTTCGACTTCTTGTTAAAAACCGCAAGTCCGATTGATTTGATATTACATATATAGGTACTACATGTGGACGCCTCTCCGATTTGTTCATTTCGTGATGATATCTTTAATTCTCTAATTTTGATGAATATTTGTGTCATTTTTGGTAAAAAGTGATATTTTCGACTTCTTGTTAAAAACCGCAAGTCTGATTGCTTTGATATTACATATATAGGTACTACATGTGGACCTCTCTCAGATTTGTTCATTTCGTGATGATATCTTTAATTCTCTAATTTTGATGATTATTGTTGTCATTTTTGGTAAAAAGTGATATTTTCGTCTTCTTGTTAAAAACGGCAGGTCTGATTGCTTTGATATTACATATATAGGTACTACATGTGGACCTCTCTCAAATTTGTTCATTTCGTGATGATATCTTTAATTCTCTAATTTTGATGAATATTGTTGTCATTTTTGGTAAAAAGTGATATTTTCGTCTTCTTGTTAAAAACGGCAGGTCCGATTGCTTTGATATTACATATATAGGTACTACACGTGGACCTCTCTCCGATTTGTTCATTTCGTGAGGATATCTTCAATTCTCTTATTTTGGTGAATATTTTTGTAATTTTGTTCATTTCATGATGATGTCTTCAATTCTCTAATTTTAATGATTATTTTTGTCATTTTTGGTGAAAAGTGATATTTTCGAATTCTTGTTGAAAACAGCAAGTCTGATTGCTTTGATACTATACATATTGTTCATTTTCTAATGATATCTTCAGTTCTTTAATTGTAATGTGCATTGCTAACAGCGGGGCTATCTTAGCTGACAGACTGCTTGTTTTGAAATGGGGAAAAAATGGATATCTTACTTTCAAAAAATCTACACCTTGCTCGCCTATGATTCATCGACTTCTCTATTCTACATTTAGTTGGACTGAAGCTATACAATGGGGAATCAGTAACGAAGCAACTGCAGTGGAATCATATCTTAAAATCAAGCCGCAAGAAGTTGTCTTTAAAAGGAGACTATTACACAGATCCGTTTTACAACTTCATTGGAACTCATGCCATAGAAGATATCATCAACCGTAGAATATCGAATGCCAGATATGGAAGTATAAAAAGGGAATTGTGGATGGAGGCCACTGAATGTTTTGATGACAAATCTCTAGTTGAATCCTACTTATTAGATTTTTTACGCAAATCTACAAATTTCGTGAAAATTGTAAGCCTGAAATTAAAAAGCAAATATTAGATTATATGCAGTATGAATGTTGCAAGGAAAAGCAGGATTTTGCTAAATACAGATGAAACGGATTTATTCATCTTTCGCGATTGAAGCACATGTCTGGTTTAACGATGCGTGCTGTGGCACAATAATTGTTTTTCGGTGTCATTAACGGCAACATTTAAATCATTATCTAATTACCTAAATTGGAATAAACATAAGTATTACAAAGCATAATTATCATCATGCTAATAAATATATCCACAATATTCAATTTATTGGGTTAATTTCCTGCACTGTGGCGGCTATTTATGTAGGTTAGTGTATTTCTAGTCAAGAAGTGTGATACATATTTTTTTTTTAGTATTCTAGCTAAATGTTATGAACGGGTCAGTGTAATAGATATTTTATATGTAATTGTTGTATTTTATCTTCATTTCTTGTGATGGTTTGTATGACAGTTACAGCAAATGTAAATTTGTATTTATTATCTTTGGTTAAATGTTAAAATCGATAAATTAAATATCAATTGGCGCTTAATTAATATGCATTTTGTCGTTTTTGTTAATATAATACCACGACTGCTTGGTCCATGTTATAACGATATGAAGAAATTAGTATCTTCGCGTCACTTTTCCATTTAGGGAATAGAAATATGGCAACATTGTTATATTATATTGCAAAATAGGTTCGACAATGTTCAATATTTCCGGTAATAGTATAACCGGGAAAATGAATAAAAAGTGTGATGATGTCAATATGTTCTCATTCTTATGTTATTTTAGGGTGTGGGCTGTCGTTATTTTATTTCAAGTTGTTTCTCTTTAAACATACACAATGCGAAACTCATCATTGTCAAACCCGGCATAACAAAGACATCATTCCTTTATATAAAACAGGCACAGTAAATTAATAGTTCAGGTAAAAATCAGGTAGAGATGCTAAGTAATGAAAATATGACCACGCACCATTAACACGAATTAAACTTGCATTTTTCTGTTCAAATTTTCTAATTCTGCCAACATATCTATAATATTATTTGGCGACTCATATAATGTGTCTTGGGGATGTCGGTAAGGACGTTATGTAGTATGCAATTCTCTGGTCCTGTAAATGTGTGAACTTGAGTTTAATCAGTTATCCGCATATAATGAAATGAATGGGGGCTGCTGCAAATAACAAAGCAGTAAACAACTACCAACGCTCGGTTTATCAATTACACTCTTCATCCGTTTTGTAACGGAGCAACAATATCATCATACCTTCAGGTTTATTCAGGATAATGTCAAGTTCCCTTCTTTTCTAAATGGCATCATTCGGCCCAAGTTGTTGTTACTGCTTTAACGAATATGCCACCTGTTCACATACATATAGTATAATTCAATAGTTCAATGGGCGTGCACAGGACACAAGTTGCCAGTTTTCAGAAGACGCAAAATATAATAGTGTTCATCGTGAACACCGTCGTTTACGAAATGTATCTCAAAATGTTCACAAAGATGTAGCAAAATAATTTTTGTTCAATATTTGTTATCTTGCTGTATTTTTTGTATCAATAACATTTCTAAGAACTAAATGACTCTGTATTATTATATACTTAGGGGAGCTCGTTTATATTATACGCAAATTAGCACAGGTGTGTGGAAATCACCACATCAGATGGAATTCAACATTGAGGCTCCAGCAATATAATATTAGCTGAAGCTGAAAATTAATATAATGATTAGATCACATGGAATTAACGCTTGTCTAGCGCTGTGTCGTCCAGTTTACTAACTCGAGCATTGATAACAACACTGTGCATGTTTAATTCCATCGGTTAATAAACTTGTGATGGATACATGGAATGCACACTCAGTATAT